AAAAGTATAGCCAATATAGATAATTTAACAATGCAGGGAAATAAAAATGTAAAAGTAAATAAATAGATAACACTAAGTAAAGTAAATAAATAAAAATATATTAGCAATTCTAAAATATTACAACATTCGTTGGAGGTATAAATGAAGAATAGTATATTAAAAATTTATGACAAATATTTAAAAATGGTTACATAGTGACTACAAATAATGACATGTACAAAATTGTGTAGGTACTCGTATAGTTTATGAACGTGATTTCTTAATGAATTTACGAAATTCTCCGATATCGCGGACACCACCGCGAAATATGCCATCCATACCAATAGAATTATTGAAAAATACACCGCCGAATCCTGCAGTACCTGCAAAACTTCAAATTAACAAGGGTTAGTATTTGCTTTACCAATTTTCTTCATAGCGTAATTTTTCCCATGATAATCTGGATTTCATTTAATTCTTATATTATCTAATGTTATAAGACTCAGTTTACAACAATTTTATTTAGATGTATGTATTTATCAATTAATATTTTCTACTTATGCAATTGATACATTGTTCTAACATATGTACACGTACATGGTAATAGTTTCATAAATATATACTTTAGTTCTTAGTTTATAGAAATTTTAATATAAAAATATGTGATAATAGTAACTCATACTATTTGTGATATTTTAATTAATATATTACAGATTCTCCAGTAATTGAAGAAACTGCAGAACAATTTGAGATGGACATGTAAAAATTGTAATTATGATATATTCACATTGTGCCAATCATTTATATGAATAGTAACAATCAATATAACCAGCAAAAATATGTTAGCAATATATCTTTTTGTATAAACATATACCAACAGGGACCTTATATAGTAATAAGTGTTTGTACAACTACATCTATAATTGATATAGTTATACTAATTCATTGCATTATCATCTTATTTGCCAATAAAGATGATCAGAAATTTATAATAGCATATTTAATTCTGGACTACTAAATATACTATTTTATAACTTATTTTACAAACATTTGTACTACACAATGAATAAAGGATATTTTGATAATAAAAATTTGTTATTTCCTACATATTACATTGGCAAATTCATACATTAAAGAAAGACTTTTTTAATCCTAATATTTATTTTAAATTTCTATATTTCTGAATTTTTATTTTTATT